CTATAGACTAATCTAATACAATTTTCTACATTGTCCATCCATAAAACTATTTTTTTACGTACAAAACTGCAAACATTCTAGCAGCATAATCACATCAAAGATATGTCAATTATGTGATTTAACGTATTCAATGTGCAGTACATAATAATTTGATGGTCGAGGCACATACAATTTTATCATATGGTCAAATATTGTCTTTATTTTAAAAGACTCAAAAGTACTATGTAATGAAGTATACTTAATAAGAATCACGTACTAGTGTGCATAATTCATGCATGCACCATAGCTATCAATTAAGGGACCTAATTAGATTGACAATGTGGCAATAATGGTAGTATATAGTATTAATGTAGTATGTAGTATTAATATTAAAGCATCTTAAGTGCTTTCTTGCACGTCACTGTTTCAGCTTCTGGCATTCAGCTTACGCTAATAATCTATATATAGGTAAACATTTTTTAAATCACTTTGTCAGATAATGCCACATTGTCAAATAAAATCATTGATTAGGCCCCCTAAAAATTAAAAATTATCAATCTTATGTGTGGCATTATAAATAAAGTTTGTATTGTCAGCTGCCCTGATACTAGCTTTTGTACTTGTCCCCACCCCCTCCCCCTATGGAAAAATTCCTCTCCAAAATTTAGGGGGAGAGGGGTAGAAAGGTAGGAACTGATGTACATAGGCGGCTGCTTTCATACATCATATTCAGATCATATTCAGTGTATAGTAGATGGTCCATAGAGGCTGACTCATGGACACCCACACCTGAAACACCCCTTGCCACTTAAGATTCTATCTTAGTAAAACAAGAGAAAGCCCTTAATGATCTGAAACGATGTGCATTTTTTGTCTGTTGCAACAATTGCAAAAAGAAAGTCTACAATGCTAGGATTAATTGCTGTAGTATGTACTATATGGACGTAGAAATTTTCTTTTAAAACATCAGTGGAAGACTACAAAAAGACATAATTACAATCTCAAAAAAACTTTTTACAAAATGAGAGTATACATGATATAGTACAATGCATTTGACTGCATAATAGGCCTGCCAATCAAGTATATAAAAGATCATGCACAATTAACACTGCATTTAATTGACTGTTTTACAAAATAAAAAAGGGACTGCAGGGTCTGGCTTCAAAATCTGATTAAACAATGTATCCAGAAAAAAATAATCAATAGAAACAAAATGGGCTTTGAGATAATTATACAAAGAAATGTATGGCCAATACTCCAATTTCGAGTTCTGGTTTGCTCTGTGTTAGCCTCAAAACCAAGCAACATATTCTTTTGTTTCATTGATAGCTCGAAAAAACGCATGGAATTTGTGAAGAAACACAATAAATTTGATTTGAAATCTCACACTTCTACGCTCACAATAAGAAATATTTTGCGCACAAATGAGGCTAACACAGAGCATTGGAGAATTCGAAACTGGAGTATTGTCCATCAAAAAGCATCCAGCAGCTAAAATTTCTACTCTACAAAATTTCTGTTTCTACAAAAATCATAATTCTGTCCCAGCAGTCCCCTATTCGTTTTGCCATCAGCCAATTTTCTTGTACCCTCAAGAGTCTTCAAGGGTGACATTATTAACATCATTATTATCACGATAGTAATCCTTTGATGTCTCCACAACATCAACCCTTTTCAGCTTAGCAAGGGCATCAGCAAATGCAGTGAATGAGAGCTTGCAGGTCTTTTGAGTTTTCAGAGCTTCAAATAAATGATAACCCTTTTCTGGTTGACTGTGATTGTCAATCCCTAGTATGGTTTCTTCATCAAGACCCAGTTCTTGTGCAAGTTCTCGCCATCCAGGTTGTTTAGGATTGGATATTCTGGTTTCAATTGCAGAACGCAGTTCATGTGGTATGGACTTTAGAAGGAGATTTTCAGGCCATGGGTAAGCTGTAATAATAATATAATAATTACAAATACAATATTAATTTTTACAATTATCATAAATCACAATGATTATATTATATTTATATAATATATATCAAAATATCCAACATAAATTCCACATATTTTTCATATTTAGCACTTAATTGAGACAGACCTTGACGTGATGCCACAGCATTTAATGGCCAGCTCTCTGGAGATGAGGAACCATCTTTTGACTTGATTGCTTTTCTGAAATATTTGTAGATTTTCTTTCTTTTCAGAAACACTAGTATAGCTGCTATTATGAACAATGCAAGAACTATCACAAGGATAGTAATCACAACAATCAAGATTACTTTGTTATGAGAGCTTGTGGATGCTTGATGTTTGGTTGAAGATTTTTTTGGATCATTCATTGTAGCTTTTTGTAAAGTGCCACTATTTGTAGTAGGTGTAGTCCTGTCGCTATCTGTTGACTTAGCCTTTTGGGCTCTTGGCTGAGTTGTTGGCGGCAGAGTTGTTGGCGGCAGAGTTGTTGGCGGCAGAGTTGTTGGCTGCTGAGTTGTTGGCGGCAGAGTTGTTGGCGGCAGAGTTGTTGGCTGCTGAGTTGTTGGCGGCAGAGTTGTTGGCGGCAGAGTTGTTGGCKGCTGAGTTGTTGGCGGCAGAGTTGTTGGCGGCAGAGTTGTTGGCGGCAGAGTTGTTGGCTGAGTTGGCTTCTTCTGACAGACCAACATATCAGGCATATCACTGTTAAAGTCATACCCATCTGCACAAGAATCAAGGCTGCATATAGTAGGCTTTGTTATTGTACAATTATGCAGTACTTTAAAACCATCGCATCCCCCACAAGGACGACACAAAGCTGAACTCTTGGTATCACTGTAGTTCGCCCCCACAACACATGGTACACACTTCAACTTTTGAGATGTCTTTATTCTTGACGCACACTCGTAATTCTGTCCGTAGCCCTCAGGGCAACTGAGACACGCCCTGCAGAAGCATTTTGAAGGTTCATTATCTTTGCAAACTTCTACATCATTTGGATCTGGGCATACAGTCTCGCTGTATTTACATATGGTCACTACCAAAAGTGCAGTCCACAATAGTCCCTATGGTATACATCAAAAATTATAAATAATTCGCAAACATTCCAATATAGCTAATTAAACTGATAAATATAATAATTTGAATGATTTTCCTAAACTGTGAAAACAAGCAAAGATCAGAAATTACTTATATTTTGATACTGATAAATGAAAAAAAGAGGAAGTGCAATAAAGAATAAGTGAAAGCTAGCATGTATTTCACAGCCATTTTGAAAACCACTTTCGTAGAAATATGGAATCACATCCAATTGCAAAAATTGTTGTCATTGAAAAAAGAATATTAATTTAATTGGTGCTTATAAAAAATACGCAGTCAAGGACTGCATGTCACTCAGGCATAAGAGACTAATAGGCTAATAGGAAGATGAGATCTAGAATAGAGATAAATAGGTAAAAGGTAAATGGAGAGAGATAAATAGAGTAAACAAGGATTATTAGGACCTTGTAATTCCATTTTAAAAAGGATGGACCAGTTTAATGGCCTGACTAGATACCCATGCCATGCATGAATGGAAAAATTCTTGAGTGATCTTAACTCTGCTTCATTTATTGATACATATGGTTTAAATAACTATGGTAAGYTTATATTAATTAAAATCATTTCTTAATATGAAGTGTTATTTTGAATTTCACTGATCATACATTAAGCTGAAGATACAGCCATAATAGATTAAGCCCATTTTCAATTTAAGGAATAAAAGACGAAATTCCGTGTTTGATACTCTGATCAAAACACGCGGGATGTAGGGAGAGCACGAGAGAAGCGTAGGAAACCACGACGCGTAGCGAGTGCTCTCCCTACATCCCAAGTGTTTTGATCAGAGTATCAAACACGGAATTTCGTCTTTTATTTCTTTTCTAAAATTAAAAGAAAAAAATAAATTTTTGACGTGCGCGAGCGTGTTTTGATACTGTAATCAAACATGGTTTTCGACCAATCACAGCGCGCGTAGTATCCTAAAAAACACAATCGGACGTTAACAAACAAACCACATAAAGCGCCCCAAAATCTGAAATATTCTTTAGAAATACACATTTGACTGCAAATKCATAGACATTTGTGCCTAGTTCTAGACAAAAAATAGTTTGAACACATTGTTTTGCGATAAAATAAAAACAACTGTCACCTTCAAAAGCACAAACACGTCGCTAGAGGACGCACATGGTCAGGCCAAGTCAATTTTTTCTCGCAACTTTCAGTCGTCGAGATTCCGCAGACCTTTCGTACAAGCTCGTTTCGATTTGGTCGAAAGTACTTCGATTTAGAGGTCGCTCATACCATAGGCGGCCCAACTATTACAWGGAGAAAGAAAAGAATGCGCGCGTACATCGGCGCGCGCTCTTAGCAAAAATGATTAGTATGTACTCGCGAGGCGCGGGATCGTGACGTAACACCACAGGTAACCCGAATTTTTCAAAGAGCACGCGCCGATAGCATATACATTTTAAAGCGTGCGCATTGGTTCTTCTTTGTCTCTAATGTAATGTCTCTCTTTTTTTTCCGCTCCGCCCCCCCAACCCCCTCCCCTTCCGTTTCCCCCCTTCCCCCCTCCCCTAGAGCAGCTACGCAGGCTATAGTTGGGCGGCCTATGCTCATACTTCATGACATAGTGACGAGAATAGCCTTCCCAGAAGGCCTTCGTCAYAAAAAGATAAATTAAAAAAAGATCTAACTCTGGTTGAAGGCAGTTGAACTCTTTCTTTTGTCGTTTTAATGTATTCCTTTTTACTATACATACAATGWTCTATTTCTCCATGACAACGTAAAGGTATAAAGCTAGAGTTTCAATGGATCAGACAAAACGCGAAAAAAATGTGCTGATGTCACCGATTTAGCAGTTTCCTTGACAGTATTGACGTCATGAGCCAGTCACATAAATCATGACCACGGACGTATTTATTTCAAAAACCAACTTTTCTAATGTTTTTTTAATGCTCAAACGGTATTTCATCAAAATCGTCATTATAGATTACTAATAAGGAAGTATTTTAAAAAGAGCATTGCAAATAAATTAATGAAAACATTTTTACGTCCTAACTGATTATGAATGGGAAAAAAGCTGACTGGAGTAGCATAGCAAGTTGCGTAACTGTATTAGATTACTCGCTAGTGACAACAGTTTTACACATATGAAGCCGTGAGAGTTAAATAACTTTTTTCAGATAATGTTTTTATTATTATATGTTATTATTATATGTTTATTCAATCGCGTTTTTTGCAAAATTTGCCGAGTCAAGAATTATGATGCAATTTTGAACGCACTCAAGCGCTTCGAATGCGTAGATATTGTCGATGTTGTGTTGACGAGACTAGAATTTGTAATACTAAATTGTAATAATAAGTTTTCCTGTTGCCAAAATAATACATGGAATAATATGATAGCATTTCTACACGATGATTATACGATTATGTTGAAAATGACATTATTCCCGGCGATTCAACCACGTAGTGGTGGTTATACTTTGGCGTTGTTTCCACTGACGCGTGGCTATAAATACGAATAATCACATCAGAAAATCTAAACATCGTTCATAATATGTATGTCAACTTAGATTTATTATAGCATACTACGATCATTGCTTCGATTTACGAATACGTATCGATCTATCGCGTGATTACAAATATTAAAATAAAGATGATCTTACCTTAATCGTCGACCACGCACTCATGGCATTGTTTACAACAGCGCTAACCACAGAATTAACAGCGTAGCAGGATGATTTGACAAGATTTAAGACTTTTTACCCAAAAGCTGCTACTCTTCCCAATCTGTTCTGTCAAACTGAGCAGTACTGAATGACAACGTACATAAGTATGTTTTTTAATTAGGGGAATCCCCTGTGTCTATCACGGGCAAAAACTTGAATGACCAAACTCTGTGACCGGGATAATATTTTTTCTATTAACTCTTTGATCTATTGAWTTTTTTTTACTCAAGATCTCAACCTGTACTTAATCTCAACGTGTATCCACTTGAGTCATTTCGACCAGGCCTAGTTTTTCACTATGTTTGGTTGTCGTGACGACGGATGGGTTGGAGGTGTGACGGAGGCGTATATCAGCAAAAACAAAACATTGGMCTTTGAAGCGTACTTGGACTGATGAAACGATTTAATAACAATAGCGTAGGGTAGGGTAGGGTAGTCGTTTTGTCTAGGATAGGGTATAGTCATTGTCTGGGGTAGGGTGGRGTTTTGGCTTTGATCGTATCTGCTAGACCACGCTTTCAGCGCTAAAATAATGTACCTTTAGTCTTGGGTAGGGTATGTAAAATCACAGAAATTGGTCTGAGATAGAGTAAGGGTTTTGATCCCCCCCCCGGTGGATGCTTTTCATTTGGCGCGCATATCAGAACGCGTGCGCGAACGTTGAATTTTGACACATTTTTGCGGAAACTCACACCTCAACAAGCAGTGTGTTTTTTTTTCAAGATTCCGCTTCTTTATAAATACAAACAATAAAATAATTTTCATATTTACTATTTAATAACTCTTATCCCCGCCATCATCATCAACATTATCATTATTATTATTATCATCACTATAAATATATTATATCATACATAGAAAATGCAGGGTGTTAAGAATATTTGCAAGTATACTATTTGCTGTTTATACAAGGAGCTTCTATTTACAATWTTCTACATTGTCCATCCTAAGWTTTTTAYATATTAAAAAAGCTGYAAAAATTCTAAAAGCATAGTTACATCAAGGTGATTATTATCATATTTGTCTTWGCATATTTAATATGCAGTAAATGAAAATATGATCATTAAATATGCACATACAATTTAAAAGATGATGCATATATATAATAACTAAAACTGCTTTACTGTATAATTGGCCTATGACAAATATGAGTAAATAACGGTCTCASAAAAAAATACACCCATCATGTAAAAGAACTTAATACAAAACGCTCACTTATGTTTGAACTTATAACTTTATAGTATATTACAAAAGAATTCATGGTGTCCAGCCAGAAGCATTCAACTTAATTTACATTTTTTGTGTTTCTGAAAAAAAAAATAAAAATAAAAAAAAATCCCCTATTCATTTTGCTATCAGCCAATTTTCTGGAACCCTCAAGAGTCTTCAAGTGTGACATCAATAACCATGCTATCTTGATAATAGCTTTCCTTTGCCTTTTCAACAATGTCCACTCTTTTCAGTTTAACCAGGACATCAACAAATGTAGTAAATGTCAGCTTGGGTTTTTGAGTTTTCAGAGCTTCAAATAAATGATAACCCTTTTCTGGTTGATAATGGTTGTCAATCCGTAGTATGGTTTCTTCATCAAGACCCAGTTCTTGTGCAAGTTCTCGCCATCCAGGTTGTTTAGGATTGGATATTCTGGTTTCAATTGCAGAATGCAGGTCATGTGGTATGGACTTTAGAAGGACATCTGCAGGCCATGGGTAAGCTGTAATAGTTACAATAAGTCACAATGATCAATATATTATAATATTTTATTATATAACTTGTATATCAAAATATTGCACACACTCAAGACTATATGACCTTATGGGTGGCATGGGTGGCCTAGGTGTTAAGCTGCTGGCCTCTCACACCGCTGTGGTCCGGGTTCGATTCCCGGGCACAGATCATATGTGAGTTTGAGTTTGTTTGATGTGTTGTTCTCTCCCCATTGCCACAAGGGTTTTTCTCCGGGTCCTCCAAAAAATCAGCATGTGAGGATCGAGTGTTGTGTGCTAAAATACTTAATGTAGAGGTAGTGAGTGTGAGAGTATGAGGGCCACAAGTTCATCAGTTCTTTACTGGCACGTGTTTACCCTCTTAAAAACAAAACAAAGTTGATTCACTATACCACAAATTTCTTTTTTAAATAAATATATGTGCTGCACGAACCTAAAAACCCTTAACCTATCCAAGACCAATTTTTGTAAGGGTACATTAAAGATACAAAGCTCCACCCTACCCCAGACAATGAGACCATACAAATATAGCAAATATGCAAATATAGGGGAGTAGCCATAAATTGTACCATTGATAAACACAGTTGCTGTATTTTTCATATTATATTTCACCTTTATAATTACCTTCCTGTGATAGCTCCTGAGATGGCTCTGAGCTGCTTCCAGGTACAGCATCTAATAACCTGCCCTCTGCTGGAGAGGTGGAAAAAATATTTGAGAAAAACCCAATATATTTGACATATTTTTCATATTTTGCACCTATATATACTGACCTTGATGTGATGGCTCTTGGGATGGCTGTGACCTGCTTTCAGGCACAGTATCTAAAAGCCTTAGCTTGTGCAGTAATTTTTTGAGAAAAATTATTTCTAAATGTGTGTGATGAAATATTTTGCATATTTAGCACCTTGATACTGACCTTGACGTGATAGTTCTGGAGATGGCTCTGAGCTGCTTCCAGACAAATCATCTAGTTGTCTGCTATCTCCTGCACATAAAGAATCATTTTTTGAGGAAAATGCAATAAGTTTGTCATTTTTCATATTTAGCATAGCTACCTTGATACTGACCTTGATGTGATAGTTGTGGAGATGGCTCTGAGCTGCTTCCAGGCACAACATTTAATGGCAAGCTCTCTGGAGTTGAGGAATCATCTTTTGGCTCGATTCTTTTTTTGATATATTCCTTGATTTTCTTTCTTTTCAGAAACAGTACAGTTGCAATGAATGCAACTACAATTAGCACAAGGATAGCGATAACAATATTCTTGATGGTCACATGGCCATGAGAGCTTTTTGTGGTTGCTTGATCTTGGTCCACAAGCTTTGTTGAAGATTTGTAGGGATCATTCATTGTAGCTTTTTGTAAAGTGCCACTATTTGTAATAGGTGCAGTGCTATCGCTATCTGTTGACTTAGCCTTTTGGGTTGTCACCTGAGTTGTAGGCTGAGTTGGCTTCTTCTGACAGACCAACATATCAGGCATATCACTGTTAAAGTCATATCCATCTGCACAAGTATCACGGCTGCATATAGTAGGCTTTGTTATTGTACATTTTTTCAGCACTTTAAAACCATCGCATCCCCCACAAGGACGACACAAAGCAGAACTATTGTCATCGCTGTAGTTCGCCCCTACAACACATGGTACACACTTCAGCTTTTGTGATTTCATTATTATTTTTCCACATTCAAGGTTTTGGCCAAATCCTGGAGGACAACTAAGGCAGGGTCTGCAGAAGCATACAGTATAATTGCTGTCACAGACTTTGATTTCACTGGGATGTAAACATGGTATCTCCTCAGCACTAGGGCATGTTATGGTACAGCTAGCTATGATGGTGACCAATGGAAGAAGCTTCACCTTTAGTCCCTATATGATAAGTCAAACATTAATAACAATTTTTATGACTTTTCAAAATTTACCTAATAAAGACATTACATAAAAAAAACAATTGTACTATAACTGTTCTTTCCATTTGTTATATGCATTTTATATTTCTGAATTTTTCTGTTACATTTGCACTAAAATAATAAAATCAATCAATCAATCAATCAATCAATCAATCAATCAATCAATCAAATAGGCAAATTGCAGTTAAATGAAAATAAAAGAGCAAGATCAGAGTCATCTATCAATAAAGAATTAGAGGTATCTATCAGACTAGTATTGATGTCCCATGCAAAAACTCGTAATTACGCTTCGCGTTTTGACACCGGAAACGGATGCGAAGAAGACTAGAATTGTTTCGATCAGGTGAGCAAAATTCCGGATGTGACGCAAGCTGGCGTGATGACTGAATGTAAACAAATTTGAATTTTTTTCCCAAAACCACCATTCCAATTGTTTTTTATGGTAAAACAGTTTAAAATATTCCTTTAAAAAATTTTATTGATTTTTATTGCATCGAAATATCAAAGAAAACCGTTATGTTTTTACTTCTAAACGGATTTTTGGCGCGAAATCAGCTGACTGGAGGAACCGATTAGATTAATCGCTAGTCACCAAAAATCCAAATTTCGTTCCGTGAAAGTTGTTCGAATGTTTTCTCGTATTACTGGTAAATATATCTTTCCCTGTATGTGCTTTATTCATTAAATCTTTGTCGAATAGCGTTTGTATGCACAATATTGCCGAATCTTTGACTTCTTTTCCCGATGATTCAACTATTCAACGATTCAGCATATTAGTTTCGTCGGATGCCTTAAAAAGCCCAACAATGAGAGGACAATAAAGCCATGTTAAAGGATATAAGATATAAAGGGTTATCCTGGAGTCAGAAGAGAGCGAAGAAATGAAATATACGTTTTTAGTTAATTTGTGACGTAATATATAGTGCCGTGAAAGTACTATGGCGAAGGCAAAGTTTTCAGGACATAAACTTCTCATAAAGTTCTCAAAAATCGTGTATTATTGCTATAATTATTATCATTATAGTATGCTATCAGTAACATGATCTTTTTATTTATGTTTGGTCATGAAAATGTAAAATCGAGGTCTTCTTACCTTCATAATGTGCGTGCTCGAAGCATTTCGTCGATCAGCTGAGCTTGAGACGGACTCACAACATCTCCGATCATAGAATTATAGAATTCGTGAATCAGAAAGAAGATAATCCGTGCAGGTTTAAGACGTTTTGTACAATACTGCTACTGATAGAAGTGCTATCCCACCATCTACTTGCATGTAAGAGAGTATAGCGGTTTGATTTGTCACTTTGTCAATATGATTTTTTTTAGGGGTTTCCCCTAGATGTTCTTTCAACCTTGAATGACCTTCATGGTGAAGACATGCATTCATAAATGTAATGAAAATGTTTCTTAGAGTCGCATTATTCTACACTTTAGAATTGATAAATTTCAAAAAGAACTAACCTAAATAGACACGACAAACGGGGAAGAAGCAGAAAAACCGTGCGAGAGAACCCCGCGCAAAGACCCCCGGGTACCACAGGATCCCCAATTCTTCTAAACAAAAACGTCCAATCCAAGTGCAATTATAACATAAAAGTCCACCAAAAATCAATAAAATCTAAAACAAAAAAATTGCTTAAGAGTATCCTCTGCCGGCCTTTTTCTTCTTTATTGATCTGAGCCTTTACGCTTTTTCTTCAATTTTTTTTGCCTTCTTGTTGCTATAGCAACACAGCGATCCTTCCCGTTTGTCAATAAAAATGTGGAATTGATTTCATCGTAAATTTATAATAAAACACTTGCTTTTTTAGATCCGAGTTTTCTTTCCCCTTCCAATGTTGGCCTATTCAACCATTGAAATCAGGAAGCCTTTGTGGGTCTTTGTGTAATAAGCTTCTAAAAAGCCTTTTGCAAAGTTTTTGCTAAGGCGATCTAAGGCAGATTCGCAGGACACGTTTATTATACCCTCCTTATCAAAAATTCATAACTTGTCCCTCCTTATCAAAAATTCATAACTTGTCCCTCCTTATCAAAAATTTAACAATTCGCAGGCGGTTTTCCATTGTCTGTACTCTTATCACAGGTAGCCCAAGCACTGGACTTGACAGAAGTGAAAAACGAAAAGTTCAATAAAAGTGGTAAAACTGAATAAAATTATTTCAAACTACAACATAGTGTTCTTCGTATTTTTCTGAACAGGGGTGTTGAGAAAAATAAGAAGAACACTATGTTGTAGTTTGAAATAATATTAATTTTATTCAGTTTTACCACTTTTATTGAACTTTTTCGTTTTTCACTGTCAAGTCCAGTGCTTGGGCTACCTGTACTCTTATTGACAATGAAATTGACGTCAAAATGCTCAAAACTCAAGTGGAACCACGAGCGTAAGCGAGTGGTTTCACTGCAAAGTTTTGAGCATTTTTGACGTCAATTTCATTGTCAATAAGAGTACAGACAATGGAAAACCGCCTGCGAATTATTTTTTACCATAAAAAAGCTGAAAACAAAAGTAAAACCATTTCTAGCGCGCGCCGGCTCCGTGCGCGAGCGATTCGTCATTTCATCCGTCTGTCCTAGGATTGACAACGGCCCTCGACCAATCAGCGCGCGAGAATTCTACATGTTATGGTAAATTCCTGGGTAAATTCATAACTTGTCCCTCCTTATCAAAAATTCATAACTTGTCCAATCTTTCCATAAGGCTTGTTACATTCAATCATAATTCCCTGGAGCCGAGAAGGGGAAAACGAACGTAAGTATTTTTAGAAACAGTATTCTAAGTTTCTATCAATCAGTTCCGAAATTCAAAAAGGGACTGGTGACTAGTCACAAAACTCGATACAGGTAGTAAGCAATCAAAACACAGATCCCCAAAGTCTACTTCATGCAGTATACTTTGAATACTAATGAGGTCTATATTCTATTTTGCTAAGGGTGATAATAACATTCCGCGTTACATTGTCATGAGAGACTGTGCATGCTTGACGTTGGTCCAAACCCTTTGTTGAAGGTTTGTAGGGATCATTCAGTGTAGCCATTTGTAACGTGCCACTATTTGTAGTGGGTTTGGTGCTGCTTTTGCTGTCTGTTACTGACTTAGGCTTTTGGGTTCTTGGCTGTGTTGTTGACGTTATTATAGATTACTAAGAAAGTATTTAAAAAGAGCATCGCAAAAACTAGTGAAACATAATGAATGGGCAAAGCTTCTGACTTGTCATGGCGGACTATGGCGATTTTTTCATTGGCGTGTGACTAATCAATACGAATAATCACCTCAGAAAATCTAAACATTGTTCATAATATGTCAACTTAGACTTATTATAGCATACTACGATCATTGCTTCGATTTACATATCGATCTATAGCGTGATTACAAATATTAAAATAAACACGCACTCATGGCCAGGCATTGTTTACAACAGCTCAAAACAGAATTGACAACGTAGCAGATGATTTGACAAGGTTGAAGACTTTTTACCCGAAGAACTACTGAGCGGGCTGCTACTCGCCCAATCTGTTCTGTCAAACTGAGTAAAACTACTGAATGACTACGTACATCGTGTTTGTTTTTTTAATTAGGGGAATCCCCATGTCTGCCACGGGACAATTTGAATGACCAAACTCTGTGACCTGTGCAATATTTTATCTATTTTTTTAACTCTTCGATTTATTTGCATTTTTTTGTACTCAAGATCTCAACCTGTATCTATGAGATGAAATGAAATGATACCCATTTTTGAAAACAATATCTTACTTTTAAAAAGAAACAGTTGTGTAAAAAGATAAATTTAACACCGTAAAAAAGTAGGTGAGAAAAGACAGAAAACTTGCTGACGTTTCGGACGTTAATCCTTCGTCGGAGTAAAGACAGCAAAACATATGAATATTATATCATTATTTTTATTATTGAATCATTAAATGATTTTAACTGAACGAACTTTAACATAATTGACAGTTGCAAAATAGGCTATGATGGGTCATAATGAAAAGAAAAAAAATTAATATAATGAAACGTAGGGTGTGATTTCTTTCACCTGGTTTAGTTTTTATTGGATTTTTTCCACTTTTTCTTCATCTCTTTCGTCTTCTTGTGCAATTTTGTCTCGTCGATTGCCTTGGTATCTTTATCGCTCCCAGCTGTAACTTGAAAATGGAATGAACAGATAAAATACTTGTTGTAAACATATGGGTCATGCTTTTCCCCCAATGACCACAGGTAGCCCAAGCTCAGTACTTGTTGGCTTTTCTCTGAAATTTATTCTTTTGAAATTTTTACAATACAAAAAGAATTCAAAAGAATAAATTTGACCTCAAGTGCGGAGAACACAATACGTCGGGACTTATTAAAAGGGTGTATAGAGAAAATGAAAACGTTTGTAGATAATTATCTACGATACAAACATTATGAAAAACGACAATTTACTTCACTGTAGGTAGCTGAAACTTCGTATAGCTGTGGAATAAATTAAGCACAACAAGTTGTGTGGATTTGAATGCATTTCATTGAGATTAACAACTTTTATTGAATTTTTCATTTTGGAGAAAAATAACGAAAATTGCTGACCTTGGGCTACCTGTGTAATARCGTGGGCGAAATTCATCATGGGATTCATGAAAGCACAAACTGAGTCATGTTGTTTTTTCATTCGTGTTTCTGGTGTCCCGAGGTATTCTTTCTAACAACAAGCATTAGTCATTTCCATAACGCTTTTATCAACATACTTGTCGCCTTCCGCACATTTCGCAAAGAAAATTTGTCCTCTGTATCCGCCATCTTGATACTTTTATCAATACCATGATGCAATTCACAATGACGTCATTATAAGAAAAGACCATCATGCCCCGGGGGCTGATACTTACCAAGGTCATTGCA